CACTTATATGATTTGTTCTTTTCATGATTTATTGAGAAAAATAAGGTCCAGTACAGTAAACGTATTAATGATGCCCATCTGTCATCAGGCCGATGATTTCACCACAGCAGACTTCCTCACAAGAGCCTTTATGCTCTGTAACAAGCTGCCAAACAACTTTGGAAGCGTTCCACTCTTAGACCAATTGTGAAAAATCTTTTACAAGGTATCCTTTTGAGACATGGATTTTATTAAGCTTTTTAAAGAATGTGCTGTGGCTTTTTTCTGCTTCTTGTCTCCCTGACTGCAACTGCAGCACCTTGACTTGAGAATCTTATGGTAAGATAATTCTTAAAAAACAAAACAAAACTTAAATACATACATGCATACATGCAATCATTCAGTATCATCATTACCTGAATACTTCTTTGCTGGCTCTAGGAATGATTCCTAATTCTGTCTCATCTTCCACAGGGAAATGGAAACTGTTTTCAAGCTGTGGGCCCAACATTGTATATGTTTTCCCACTACCAGTCTGCCCATAAGCCATAATACACACATTATACCTGAAAAGCAGAAAAGTAGGTGGTTCTTAAAGCCAAACATTAAGTGGTCAGAACCAGACCCTGGAAGGAAACTTACTATTTTGAACAGAATAAATCCCTCATTCCAATACTGGAATAAGCGCTATAAAAACATGCTACCTCTCACCTTCATGTCTCTTTTACCTATCCACAGCTGAAAATTTACATGAATTGGGCAAAGAACTTCCTTCCTTCATAGCAGGAAATAAGGAATGCTATAGAAAAGAAAAGATAGAAGGACAAAAGCAAAATCAAATGTCCTGGTTCCAACAGTTGGAACGTAGGCAAGAGACTGTGCTCCATTAGCAAGTTTACTGCAATACTTCCAATTTTCAACAAATAGGATTTTGTGTGTGTGCACTAAAATAAGGAGCATGATGGATACATCCTTTTCATCCACTAATCTCTCCTTCCAAAACCTAAAAAGCTAAGCCCTGTCCACTCTGATGACAATGGCCACATTTTTCATGTCTCTTGGTGGACATTTTTTGTAAAATGTAAGTGAGGCTCCAGCCCTCAAAAGGTCTCCAGTCTCTGCTTTAGATATCACTGAGACAACATGCTTTTATTGACTTAATAAGAAAGAACTAATGCCAGCAGGACTCACTTACAGTGATTCAAGATCCTGTTTCCTGCTGCACTCTGTAGCAGAGAGCATGTACTTAAATCTGACTGCAATGCCTGGCATAGCCACTTCTTCTTCTCAAATCTGAATGTACTTTTCTTGCTTTAAACCAACTGACTTGCCCTGCAAGCTTAAGGAAGCATAAAGAGCAGTATTCCTTAACCATGGCCACTCGAAGATGTATGGACTTCAACTCCCAGAATTCCCCAGCCAGCATGCTGGCTGGGGAATTCTG